ATTTTTACTGTCTTAAAAACGTGATAAACAGTGTTAGTTTGTTTTTTTACAAGTTTGCAGTGATCCGAAGTTATTCCTCACTTACCTTACACGTTCAGAACATCCTCTTTATTCACCACGATGAGTTTATAAGCACTTTTCACAACTTTCAGAGACCAGAGCGTCACAGTAAAGCCAACAACTATCACACTAATGCTCATCAACCTGATTATGGGACCATACACAGGAACTTTTTGAAGGGCTAGTCTGGAATTTTGGACATAAGAGCTCATTTCCTAGTGAGCCAGAGTGTTGGAGATGTGTGGAGACACTTTTTAAAATATTCCACCCAGTCCTTGTATTTGCAGAGGTCGCTGCTGCTAGGCTAGTGCATGTCAATGGCCATAGTTATCCTGCCACTAAAAACAGTCTTACCCACTCCACAAAACACCCGAAGCAAATCTATTATTACACCAGAGTGTTGATGTAATGTCTGTGTTGATAGAATAATTTTAGAAATGAAACCAACCTTGTATTTGAAGGATTTATGTCTGAGCAGCAGCAGTGAGTTGTACTTCCTGATAGAAAGCTCGGCAGCCGCGGACTGATATATGAGAAAATAGTCCCTCAACATGCGACGATTCATGCGATGCAAGGTTAGTTTTATTTCAAACATTATTCTGTCAACACAGACATTTACATCAACAGTCTTGAGTAATAATAGATTTGCTTAGGGTGTTTTGTGGAGTGGGTAAGACTGTTTTTAGTGGCAGGATAACTATGGCCATTGACACAAGGACTGGATGGAATATTTTAAAAAAGTGTCTCCACTCGTCTCCAACACTCTGGCTCACTAGGAAATGAGGTCCTATGTCCAAAATTCAAGACTGTCCCTTTAAGAAAAGCAAACAAGTCACTAAAATACAAAGAAAGAGAGAAAATAAATAAATATATAAAAAGTAAACTTATTCTTATTCAGAACAGTATCCCAGGTGTGTGAGAGTAAAAAGGCCCCCCTCGTCCCAGGTTATAGTCTCGTTGGCACTATAATTACACTTGATAATGCAAATTTTAGGAAAAAAGAGGCAAAAATAAAGCATTATTTGGATGTTATTGCAATGAAAAACCTGCATCTTTAGTGGGCTTGCATCTCCACAAACCTGACTCTTATTTGGTCTGGAGTAGGACCTCATCCGGCTTGTTTCCATGGACATAATGTTCCTTTGCCTATAATCTCTATTTGTTTCAAGGGAGAGTTTTCAGAAGTAGTAGTTTTAACTTTGTATTTTCATGGCCAGCTCCAGAAAAATACTTTAATATAAAAGTATTGTATATAAAAGTAATAATCAGAATAAGATACAGAAATTCTTCTTCTTATTAAATTCAAAATAACTGTTCATTGTCATAGTATAAAAAAAGAAAAAAAGTTCTGAATAAGTGGACCAATTACCTCTCAGAACATGCTGTTCCCTTTTCAATATTTGTCTGGTGATTAGCAGAGTCTACTAAAACATTTGATCATGAACTCAGATAAAAATAGAGATTTACTAAATTGACAAACCAAAGCATCCTGCAGAGTGCTTTTACATCCACTGCCGTAACTAACTCACACGGCAATGAAAATACTGCATAAACTTAAAGGGCCCAGAGTACAAGAAACTGACTCTTTTGAACTTTCTTGCCATGTGATAACGCTGTTACCTCCTCGAAAACATGCCCTCAGTTGTTTCATTTGCATGTTTGAGTAATCCTTTATTATTAGTCTGTCTATATCGCTAAAGCTCAAAATGCTCTGTTCCACCTTGTGATGTCATGAAGTGGCAGTTTAGTTTTCAAGGTAACGGCTACATTTTACTTTTGTTCAAAGATTGGAATTCCAGGGCTGAAATGATCCAAGTGTGATTGTAGTGAAAGTGTCAATTCAGTAGGCGAGTTTCTTTGTTGACAAAAGCGAGCGTTGCATGCTGGGAATTATTTTGGTCGGCGGCAATAAACACTAATTCAACATGACGGACGGAGCGAGAAAGCACGTAAAGGGTATTGATCTCGGTTATTTATCCACTCTAACGGCAGAAGACCCAAGACCATTTGACCAGAAATTGGTCATAAGCATCGACGGACGCCTAATCACCCTTTTCAACCCCGACAAAAGGTGGACCAAACCAAATTTCTGGTCAGAATCGCCAACTACCTGGACAAATATTCACTTCGGCGATATCCACAATGACTTGGTGGAAACTCCTGGGCCATTCACAGCAGAAAAGATGAAAGTCTACAAGAGTCTCGATGTGTCGTTGAACTTGTTGGAGTCCACGGTTTGCTAGGATCTTCTACGTTTGCTCTGCGAATGTTTGAAAGCCATTTAATTCACCGTTAGCGGTTCTTTTCACTCAGAATACGAAAAATACATTTTCCTTCTTCCGTGCTTCTATTTGTGCATCCGATAATGCAGCAGGAATTTACCATTATTGGGGATAAATACGTGAGGTTACGCACTGTGTTTGACCGCTACCGTGTTTCTTGCCTCCGACCAAAATATTTCCCAGCATGCAACGCGGGCTTTTAATAACAATGACGTCAGCTGAAACACACCTATTCAATTCAAGTTTATTTATATAGCACATTTAAAACAACTTCAGCTGACCAAAGTGCTTCACATACAAGTCAACAAAATAGAAGAAACAGTTACAAGTACATATATACAGAAAACATGTTAAAACTACAATAAAAACACCAAGATAATCTAACTAGCTCGTACTAAATGCCAGGGAGAAGTGGTGAGTTTTCAGTCTTGTCTTAAACTGCGTTACAGACTGAGAGGATCTGACAGGAAGAGGAGAAGTGCTGCCACAGAAAAAAACTCTGTCACCTCTCGTCTTGAGCCTAGTTTTGGGTACGAGCAACAGGAGCTGGTCGGCTGAGCTCAGGGCTCTGGGCGGAGTACAGGGCTGCAGTAACTCCCTCAAATAAACTGGACCCGTAGAGTGCAAACATTTGAAAACAATTAATAACATTTTCGATTCGATTTTCGAGTCGATTCCTGTGAAGCAGAGCCAAGTGTCCTGCTCACAGCTCCTGGGAGCACACGTGGAACAGGCACCGGAGAGAGTGACTGCGCCGTGTGATGTGACCAAATCAAACATTTTAAGAAACTATAAAGTGTTCAGAGGTGTGTTTATCTGCCACATGCATTAAAACATGTGCATAATGAAGGCTGAGTGAGTCATCTGTTATTGAGTTATTTAGGCTGATAATTAGCCTACAGAAATAAACACACAGGCTGAAAACATTTTTGGATGATAGGCTAATTGTATTCCCAATCCTCTTTAAGAGATTCTGCTGCATTAGTCCTGATTTGAATTCATTCGATCTGATTTTTCGGGCCATGTAAGTATCTGTTATTTGCAGCAATATGGCTAAAATAGAAGTAAGTAAGTCTTCATTTATATAACGCTTTTCACAGACATTTTCTGTCCCCAAAGACGCTTTACAGAGCATTATTCAGCATTCATTCATACAGCATTATTCTTTCACTCTGGTGATGGTAAGTTACTATTGTAGCCACAGCTGCCCTGGGACACACTGACAGAAGCGCGGCTGCCATGCCAATCGGCGCCATCGGTCCATTCGACCACCGCCATCACTCACACACACACACACACCACTTTCATACTAGGCAATGTGGGTGAAGTGTCTTACCTAAGGACACAGTGATTGAATTGATTGCATTTAATTGACCTTGACTATCAGCTGTTTATGGAGACCTGTAGCATGTTTTGGGTTGATGGGGGAAACCGGAGCGCCCGGAGGAAACCCATCCAGACACAGGGAGAAACATGTAAACTCCACACAGAAAGGCCCGGGCGACACGGGGATCGAACCCAGAACCTTCTTGCTGTGAGGCATGTACAATAATAATAAATAATAATAAAAAATAAAATAATAAACAATAATATTTGATTGTAGAATGAGTTTTATTGTAGTAAAATACATTTTACTGTTTAAATAAAGTTCGTAAAGAATTGAAGTTGCAGTGCACCGTGGGAAATTTCAAGTGCTCCAAAGTGGCCAAGGATCCACCTGTGCATCCTGGGTAGAAGAAACGAATGGAGGTGTCTAGCGCGGAGGGTGTGAGGGCTTTGCAGTAATTGGAACAGCAGTAGATTTTTTTATTTACATATAAATAAATAAATAAAATAATAATAATAATATAATAATAATAAAATACAATACCAGAAATAAAATACCAAACCTTCAGCTAACAATTTTTTCGCTCTTGTACTTGTGTAGCCTTAGTCTACGTCTTCCCTCGATGTGGTATTGGACTGGCATCGGTATTGTCGAGTACACTAATGCCAAGTATTGGTATTAGATCGAATCCCCCAAAAATGGTATTGAAATAACTCTAGCTGCACCTGATACACCTGATCACATTAGCGAGTAGCATTTTCATTTCTACCAAAATTACTATGTGATGTTGCCAAGAAAAGGAAAGAAATTTAGAGAGTGACGTCACGGTACGTCATGTACGTCACAGTGGCCGTGTGCCGGTGGTGGTGAAAGCGGGAGGGTTGATGGGCGATATGGTGTTTTGAAAAAGATTAAAGATGATTCAAACGCACACAAATCACTCCAAATACAACTTTGAGAGCATAAACAAAAAGGAAAACAACTATAAAATGGTTGAAAGTTTGTAGAGTAGGTCTGCTTGAGTGAACATGAACAGCAATTAACAAATGGAACTCTCAATATACGTAAGTTATTTATTCAACCCAGTACAGCTCAGTTCTTATCTTATAATACAGAAAATAACAAAAAAATTGAACTAGTACAAGAAAATGTACTCATGATAAATAATGACCCTCAAAAATAATTGTTCCATTTGTCATGCATTGAACAAGTCCATGTAGTAATTACCGTAGCCTATCTTTCTTTTGTTCCTTTCGATGCTCCTTGCTTTTTCTGCTCTCTTCAGCTAACAGACTAATGTACTCTATACTGTCCCTTCTTTTTCTCCTCAGATGAGTTCAAGTCCTTCTTCCAGCGCCTGCCTCAGACCCACTTCCTGAACATGTCGTCCCTGCAGCAGCTGTGGTCTTCAGACGCTCAGTTCCAGGGCCGCTACGAGCAGCTCCAGAGCTCCATGAGGCAGCTGTCGAGACGAGCGCACAGGGTCATCTACAAACTGTTCAGCCTGAGCAAGAGGTGCCACCGGCAGCCCAAAGTGCACCTGCCCCGCCAACGGTGAGAAACACTGCACATGCGACATTCAGACACACAAACAGATGCTCAAACGTGCTCACTCTACGTTAAAAGGTGCATTGTGGAACTTTTCTGGTATAAAATGTCCCACGATAAAGATTAAACCTTTCTATCTCAAAGAAGACAGCTATAGGTTATATTATAGTAGTGTTGTAGTTAAGATCTCGTTGATCGAGACCAAGGCCAGACCGAGACCACAGGGTCCAGAGACCAGAACAAGACCAAGACCTTTGAGAGTCGAGACCGATGCAAGACCAAGACTTTTAAAAGGTCGAGACAGAGACAAGACCAAGACCACAGCCCATCGAGACCAAATCAAGACCAGATTTTTGTCATTTCCTACATTTATTTGTATTTTCCTGTTATTTTGGGACATATATGTCAATGGTTTTATAAATCTATCTCCATTTTATCTGATAACTGTTAATTTAGGCTTAAAATAGACCAAGCAAATTGTACTGCACTGAAGGAAAGGCAAGGCAAGTGTATTTGTATAGCACAATTTGTACACAAAGTAATTCAAAGTGCTTTACAGAATAAGAAATACATTAAAATCACAATAAAAACAAATCAAAACATAAATAATCATCATAAAATTAAAGATTAAAATTTAAAAAGAGAGAGAGACGTTAATTACATAAATTAGAGAGAAGAGTGAGGAATGAAAACCTTTCAGTCATATGTGCAGCTAAACAGATCCGTTTTGAGCCTGGATTTAAACAGAGTCAAAGATGTTCAGGAAGACTGTTCCAGGTTTTAGCTGCGTGAACCTGAAAGTCTGACTCCCCGTGTTTAGTCGTGACTCTGGGCACCAGCAGGAGGCCGGTCCCTGAGCTCCTCGGCGTGTGAGATGGTTCATATGGCACTAACGTGTCACAGATGGACTTTGGTGCTCGGCCATGGAGAGACTTGTAAACAAGCAGAGCTGCTTTAAAGTCTCTGAGCCACAGGGGGCAGTGCAGAGACCTGAGCACAGGATTTAAGTGCTCGCGCTTCCTAGTTCGAGTCAGGGCCTGAGCTGCAGTGTTCTGGATGTCCTGCAGCGTCTCACAGCTCGTTTAGAGAGACCAGTGAGCAGAACATTACAGGAGTCTAACCTACTGGAGACAAACACATGGATAAGTCTCTCCAAGTCTGATTTAGACAGTAAACCTTTGATTTTTGCTATGTTACTTAAAACGTCTGTGCCCGTTTTTTGGACACACACCCACAGTTTGAGAACCCCTTCTTTAATCCCACTTCTACTGGCACTTTACAGAAAACAACTTCAAAGTGAATCAAGTGTTTTTTTCAAGTTCCTAGGATTTACAGTTACATGATCTTACTGGTTTTGCAGCGATATTTAGCAGCCTCGGCACATTTACTGGCCGTAGTGAAATATGATCACTTTCGTCGAGTGTCAGACCTCGAGTCAGAGACAAGACCGAAGACCAAGTGCCATCAAGACCCAGACAAGGCTGAAGCCAAATGTGCTAGAGTCCAAGATAAGACCAAGACTGTAAAAAAGCGGTCTTGAGGTCAGTCTCAAGTACTACAACACGACATTATAGGCCAGATCTGTGGAGAGGCAACACTATTTACAGAGATAACTATTGTTTTTCAGAGCAAAAGAAACACCCGTAATCACTGTTGGGCAAGTTACTTTGAAACTGTAATGCGTTATTTATTACCTATTACTGTCATTTCAAAGTAATTCGTTACATTACAATATTACTGCATTTAAATGTAAGGCATTACATTACTATATTGCATTACTTTAAGTTACTCTCACCAAAATAACTTTTGCGCTGTATATGGACTGAACCAGGACTAAACCAGGTCTAAACCAGGACTAAACCAGAGCTGAACTAGGACTAAACCAGAACTGAACTAGAACTAAACCAGAACTGAACTAGGACTAAAACAGGACTCACTGTAGGGACGGGCTCGAAGGTGACCGCAGGAGAAAGGAGCGGCTCTGCTCCGCACCTCACGGAGGTAAAGCGCTGCTGTCGCCCGATCGCTCTTTATGGACCCTGCTGCTCGGGCTCGCGGCCCTGATTTCAGCAACTATTTGCAGGTACCCGAGCCGGTGCAAGAGTCTGTTACAGCGCGTAACTTCTACCTTCCTTCAGCGTGTCCAGAAGTCCAACTTTTTGTGTGATGGTTTGCATCTTCCTCTGCCTTTTGGGTGTGAGCGCAGGAGCCTTTGTCGGTGCAGAATGTTTCATCGACGTTGTGGGTTTCGTTGGGGAGAAAACTTGCAACCGTACAGCACTTCAGAATCACACTGCTAGAGATTGAACATGTATTTAAATTTGGCAGCTGAACACATTCTGTACTGTACTGTACAGGAGACAGGAGTCCCTTGGCCAATCAGGACGCAGCGGGAGGAACGCAATACGCATTCATACAATGTAAAAAAAAAAGGGCATGCAAAATTGCACAAAAAAAATAATAAAATAAAATAAAATCTGTGAAACAGCGAGACCGCGAAAAGTGAACTGCGATAGAGGGAGGGACGAGTGTAAACCAGGCCTAAACCAGAAACTGACCCAGGTCTAAACCAGGTCTAAACAGCGTGGAGTTCTTTGTCAGTCCTTTCGCCCGCGGTTACCTGAAGGTCTATGAGGGCGCATCTCCGGCGTTTCACCGCTGCTGATATCGAGGTGATTTTAGCGAATTTGTATGAAGAAAAACCCACCACTTCAATCCAGGTTAAAAAAAACATTGTAACGCGCGTTACTCACATTTGTACCGAGTAAAATATTACTATTTTTTCCCCTGTAATGCCTTACATTACTGCGTTACAGCAAAAAGTAATGCATTACTGTAATTCGTTACTTTTATAACGCGTTACTCCCAACACTGCCCGTAATGGATAAATGCTTGATAGATGTGTTTTTAATGTTATCCCATGGAGCATTCCAGGCAAAGCAATAACATCTTTAAAGCTTTAAGTTCATGTTTACGTTCAAGGCCATGGAAGTATAATAATAATGAAAGCAGAGTCTTACAAAGCACACTTACAATTTTTTAGACTTAGACAAACTTTATTGATCCACAAGGGAAATAATATGGACACGGCAACTCACACATCACAATATATGACAATGAGAAGGAGAAAAATATTTATAAATGTTAATAATACATTCTAAATAAGTAGCAAAAGTAGAAAGAGACTAGAGTCAAATGTGTATGTACAAGTAAAAATTAAATACAGAAATAGAGCGATATATATAAGAGGTGGGTAAGGGGAAACGGTGCAAAGATTACATAAAGGTGAGTTGTTGTGCAGTTGTAGGGAGTATTATATGAAGTAGCCGTTTGGCGTTTTGAGCATTTAAGAATTTAATGAAAGTCCATGTTGTGAAAATTGAAAAAAATCCTTTCCTTTGTGAACACATTGTATAACCTGGAATTTAAAATCAATGTAAAATTAGTGTTTGTGTCCCAATTGTGTCGATCGATAGAGTTTGGATCACACCAGTCCTGGTTTGAGGCCAGTTTAGTCCTAATCTAGGCTCTAGTATCTTGGATTTATTCAGTTACAGAGTTTTTACTACTACTGTTAGTGGGGGTGCCTCGCCATAGATCTGACCTGTACTTGACCTGGTAGAGTCATCTATTTGTCTTCATGGAGATAAAAAAGAAGTTATGTGATTATTTATTGCTAACATACCACATATTTATTTCATTTAGATTCACTTTTATTGTTTTGAAAATGCTATATTCACTTAAAACAGATTTTTAAAGTATTTGTTGACAAAAATTTAAGTTTTTAAGGTACAAAGACACTCCCTTTCCAGAGTAACATCCAACGCAATCACCGTGCGTCTCGCTAATGAAACTACTGCACATCTTATCAGGTTTGTGAAGTTGTAGCAGATTGTTTTGTATCCTGTTTTTTGTATATTTATGGAGAACTGTCACGTGGGAGGCTTGTGGGCTGAACGTAGGACAGAATTGTACTGATAACTAAGGCCTGACCGATGTATTGTCAGTCGATATGGGCACATGGAGACGTTTATCAGCTTAAATGTTGCCGATATGGGCTGACATGGTCATGCTATAGCTCATTATAAAGTTTAGACTCTCTATTTTATGTCCATTTAATCCAATTTACAGACAGATAAATGTCTTAATATGTGGCGCCGTATCAATATTTATCTGCGGAGTAATTTGACTGTGGCTGTGACGTCGTAGAGTCCCTGAACGCACCCCCAGAGTCACACGCTTTTGTTTACAAGATCCATGTGCACAAAACTGAGGTGCCACTTTAAACGCTCTTATGTCTGATCCACGATACTGACTATAAAAAAAAGTGAACTTGAGCTTAGTTTGGTCCAGCAACAAAACTACTGCTTGTTTTGATCAAACTTATTAGTGAAGACTTGTGATCTGAGAGGAGTCTGTGTGAGCGGTGAGTGTTGCAAATGTGTCGGTTTTGAAGCTACTTTTTGTTCTTTCTCATTGGTTTGCGCTTAGCTGCTGTAGCTCCCACACATAAACAGCCTGTTTTCTCTTACATTTGTCCACTGTAAAGTGACTATAGCAGCTGTGTACATATTACTGGACCTGCAATGATTTGTAAATTAGCTGTGAATTGAGGTGTGAATGATCGGCATTTACGCATATAATTAAGCATAACCACAAAAGGCTGATGGTGGTAAATGCTTAATTACTTTCTTTACGAGAGAATGTCGTGCAAAAATGCCATTAGGCCGACCTACTGTCTGTAAATATGACTATAAAGAGGCAGAATAACAATAAATGTAGCCTAAACAAACCCAGTTTAAAATCCTGTAGAGCCAGACTTAAGTTTTATAATAAATTGAAGATTTACAGTGAATTTTTACATCACTAAATATATCGGCTTTTATATCGGCTATTGGCAGCTCCAACTCCCATTTTATCAGTATCATTAAAAAAATCCATATCAGTTGGGCCCTTCTGATAACAGTAAAAAGGGTTTGAATAGTTCCCAGGAGAGATCGCTAGAT